CACGGAGAGGTAACAGGGACATCTAAAAATAGCATCTTCAACCCAAATGAAACAGGTGGATGGCTTCCACTTACCTCTTCCCGTCAAGCTGCTCTTAAATAGACATTTTCTCAAAAGCTAGCAGGCTTCGAAACCCAAATTCCTCATAAAGCGTTTGAAACATTGCCTCCACATAGTGAGCTATTTAACTCCTTGGGAATGAGTATGAAGGGGACTGGCATTCTTTATTTGGGACTTGTCCAAGAATCAGTTGAGCCAAGAAACTGGGAAAGTGACTTTTCTTTGATTACAATGTATGTATTTCTGTTGAAAGGCAGGCTTATTGTTTTAATTAGCTTTTTTTGTATTTATTGTGTGTGCGTGCTTTGACAGCAAGTTGGGATCGACTTCTAGTGACCCTAATAGAGCTTTCAAGGTAACTGAGATATTTAAAGAATGTTTTTACCAGTTCGACTTCCCCAGAGATTTTCCATGGCGGAGCGGGGATTTGAACCCTGTTCTCGAATGTCCTAATCTGTCAGTCTGTCCACTACATCACACTGGGAATTGTATTTATTACGAAGTGCTTTTTATTGTACGGTTTTATTGTATGTTGTGAACTGCCCAGAGAGTGATAAGAGTAATGGGTTGGTATAGAAATGGAAATGATAGATAGATCTCTCAGAATGCCTCAGTTGTCCAGAAAAATAACTTCCCCTGTTTTCTGGGCTGAAAAATGTTGCAACTTTCATTGCAGAAGTCCTTAAATATGATGCAATTACTTTTTTCAATAATCTAGGATTCCCTTTGGGGATTTAATGCACTATTAATGAATGAATGAAACATTCATGAAACTTAAATGAAATATTTGATATTACATTCCCAGCAGCAGCAACAACAAAAATCCACAATTATGACGGAATATTTGAAATCGTCGGTAAAGCTCATGAGATCCAAAGTAGAAAGATTGCAATTACTTGGTATGATTTTGTAATGCCTGTTTCACCGGATCTGAACGACATGTTAATTGGTTCAGTTAATTGGATCTCTGGGTAGGGCTGGGGAAAACCCTGCCTGAAATGGCAGAAAGACTTTGTCAGTCAAGTTAGGCTATACTGAGGCTGGTGAATCAATGTTTTTCGTTGGTTTAAGTCGTTTTATATATAATGAGCAAGTGTGAGGTCTGAGAGTTATGAGCTGATCAAATAGCTATCCATTTTAAAAAATGAATGTATAAGCACCTTACTACTTTCAAGATAGCTTCTTCCAAACTGTTCAGTTAATTGGATCTCTGGGTAGGGCTGAGGAAAACCCTGCCTGAAATGGCAGAAAGAGTTTGTCAGTCAAGCAAGGCTATACTGAGGCCGGTGAGCCAATGTTTTTCCTTGATTTAAGTAGTTTTATATATAATTTATATATAAATGAGCAGGTGTGAGGTCTGAGAGACCTATGAGCTGATCAAATAGCTATCCATTTAAAAAATGAATTTATAATTACCTTTCCACTTTCAAGATGGCTTCTTCCAAATTGATTATGGTTCCTCTCAAAAACAGCTCATTAATGCCAGCAGTTGAACTCCTTAAGTGACACTTCAGTCAATATTTAACCCAAGGTTAAGAACCAGTGGATTATGGTTCCTCTCAGAAACAGCTTGTTAATGCCAGTAGTTGAACTTCTTAAGTGACACTTCAGTCAATATCGTTGACAGATCACCGAGTCACTTCCCTGGTTGTACGTTGGAACGAACCCGAGAGCACGGAATTGCTGTTGTTGTTGTTACACCCACTAAAAGTGCCGAAAAGGGAAATCGGAAGGAAATTGAAAGAATGAACTAGATAAACTTTATTAGTCATGCTTTATAACTTCAGCATGAATCACATGCAACCATTCCTTGTTGAAGCTCTGTGAAAGAAAAACGGAATGCTGTCCTGATTTTCCCCCCCTCTCGGAAAACGCGACCTGAATTTTGGTGCAAGAAAGCTACAGATTTAAAGGCCATGGTGCCAGGGGTTTTTGTGCTTTGCCAGTTTTTGGTTTCATCATTGGTCACACAAGCAATCCCACAACCAGCGGGGGGTGGCCTGACCCTATGCCTCCCGCAGGCTGGTGTGTTTGCTCTTATGCACCAGGATTCTCGTTTATATTTGAATTGCTTTGTCTTCAGTCAATTCAGCCACATTCGCACTGCAACAAACCCCAACCTATGAGGATTTTCCCGAACTACTCTTTCAGTCCCTCCCAATACCTCAGAAACTCTATTCAGGTCACCGTAAGTCAGAAACAACTTGACAGTACATAACACACATCCATTTATTAATTGATTTTCTGCCCATCCACACTCTGGCAATAGTGAGAATTTTTTTCTCTCTTTTGATTAAAAAAAAGCACCCCCCAAAAAAGAATGATTTTTTTTAGAAAGCAAAGGTCATTGAAATAACACAGTTTCAGCTCTTAGAAATTGGGCTCAGCTACTGAGTTGCTAAGAATGAAGAAGGAAAAAAGAACAGCATTAAGCAAATGTGTGTGTGGTGAAAGAGGGCAACAATCCCAGAGAGAATATTCAGCATTTTTCTACCTGTAATGAGCCCCCTTTTACTACTTTCTCATGACATGTTGAGTTAGAACTATGGGATTAAACATTGATGAGAAAATAATTAACATCGATCCTAAATACTTTTTTTAAAAATCCCCTTATGAAGCAATTCTAGATACACCTACTTGAGAGTCGCTTTCGTTGAATAGGGCTGAAGTTGCTTCTGAGTTGACCTGTGTAAGACTCTGCATCTATTTGTCAATTAACAGAGGAAACAATGGAGATCAAGATTAGTTCAGTAAAGGAAAAATGCAACGAATACAATACCTACTTATTTAATATTCCCGAAAAGAGCAAGAACGTCACAACCACCTCAGTCGATGATGAGGAAACAACACGGTCTTGTTGATGCTGCTGGCACTTCCTCAGGTTTATAATGACATAGGTGTCCACTTACCTCATCAGATGGATAAGGTGTTGGTTGACAGATTTTTATGGGAGAGAGGATAATAAACAGCGCTGTCAGAGAGGGAAGTAAAATACAAAAGGTACAGAATGAATTTAAGGGTGTCTGTTAGCAACACGGTACTTGAACAATGAAGCAGATACCATGGCACTGATAAATTCATTAAGAAAAGGCCAGTCTGCTCATAATGCAATGCTGTTTCACAGGGAGAAACATGGTTGTCCCATTCAGCAGTGTGTGTTTGGGGGGAGGGGAAAAGGAAATTGTGTGATTGTGGTTAAGTACACAGCAGGGTTCCAAAACCTACCACTCTGGACCCTGGACTTACTATACAGTCTGCCCTTAAGGACTAGTCACCACTGATAACTTTATGGTCCACAAATGGCTTAATCTCCTTTCTAAGCAGTCCAGGAAAAAAGACTGATATGTTATCAGCTGGATCCTTGAGCATAAAAAGGGGCCATGCACTCTGGCAGGAGGACCTAGCAAAGTAAAGGAACAGAGAAGGCTTAGGAAACGAAGGAGAGGAGAATTGGACTGCATGGGCTTTTCCAGCCGCCAAAGGACTCCACCGCTCTGCCAAGATGGCAGGTACAGTTTTGCAAACAGGGTCCTTTTCCTGCGCAGAGTGTGTTGGGGAAGTTAATTTCTTCTTGTGTGTTATCCTAGCAAAGAATTGCTGTTTTCTCCTCCTTAACCCGGTGAGAGGGCAAGATATTTTCCCGTTCTGTTGACTGAAACAGCTGGCTAGATAGCTCGGTGGTTTAGATCTCTGGCCGGGGAACCAGACGTTGGGAGTTCGATTCCCGCACTGTGCCTCCTAGGAGGAGCGTCTTGGGCAACCCGCACAGTCCCAGGGTGCCCCCTAGAGGAAGGGAATGGAAAACCACTTCTGAGTACTCTCTACCTGGAAAATCCTGAAAAAGGATCGGCATCAGTCAGAAGGGACAGCCGGCCGTCACGGTGATTATTAACTCAACAGTTTTTTTTCGGTTCACGTAATCTGTGTGACTCGCAGAAGGCTGTGGCAACGGCTGTTTCGTTTCATGGGCTTCCAAAAATCTGGTGGGTCAGATGAGTTGTTTGTCTCTTTTTGAACAATGAGATGGTGCTTGTGGAAAAAGGCATTCCTTGTTGCATTTTCATACCGAAGGCGAGGCTTCATCCTTTCCCATCGAGGTGTCCCAGCACATGGAAGCAGCCTCCACTCACAATAACAGGGCATTTAGTGAGTAGGTTTCAAATCCTTTGAGTGAGCTGTTCTAGGAATTGCAGTGTTACAGACAGCTATGACACCACCTGCCCGTCACTGTCGAAGCTGAGTGTCATCTACCAATGGCGTGACGGAGGGTGGGACTTAAGGGGTGGAGCTGTTGTATATAAGGGGAGTGAATGGTGTGAGAGAGTTAGATAGGGTCTGAAGATAGGGTTTGGTGATAGGGTCAGATAGGGCTTTAGAGTTAGGGACGGTTAGGGTTTGGAGATAGATCTGTGCTATATAGTGAGAGTCTGTGAGAGTGTGTGTGTGACAGTTATATTATTAAAGTGATTATAGTATTAGTTATCTACAAGTGATTTACCATTCCTTCTCTCTCTCTCTCTCTCTCTCTCTCTCTGAAATATGCAAAGAGGGGGGAAACAGACAACAATATTATCCCCCCCCTCCTCTACCTGCAAATAATCTGTGTGCCCACATGTGAGAGAATGGCATCCTTCAGTCTCGAGAGACTATGGTAACGTGGTCTGTATGGAGGACTAACACAAGCTAGTAGAGCATTCTGGGAGTTTCAGTCCAAAAAAGTAACTTTTCCAAGCTGTGGTAAGAGCCCCATGGTCAGGAAAGACTAAGCCTGACTCTTCCGAGTTACCCTTGTCCTACTTAAGCTGTGGGGCAAGGCCTAAGGGGGCAGAAAATATTTGCCCAGCGTCCTTCACGAGACTTCGCCAGGGTCAATCCATACAGTGAACTCTTGAGGTAAGGATAGCTCTGCATAATCTACACCCGCATCCTGGCAAGCTCACATGAGAGAACTGTCCACAGGATCTGTCCGGTTTATCCTTATGCATCTATACGCCTGTCCTTTAACAGGCTTCTTGGAATACCAGTGGCCCGTAAAGCGCTCGCACAAGATGTTGGTGAGACAGTCGCCGAAGCCCTCCACCTGCTCCTTGCTGAGTCTGACATTGTTCTTCACGATGCTCAAGATGGACCGGGCTTCCATTTCCACGTCTTCCTTCATTGTGTTGGTTGCCATTTGTGCATTCTATGGCAGGCAACGTGGTCCTTTCTGCTCGCATCGGTGCAACCACGCGGCTCGCCGATACCCAGCAAAAGCGTTGCCTGCGCCTCTCTCTCTTCTGCTCAGCTGTGACTTCACTCACATGCGAAGAAGAATGTGTATGTCATGCAACCATCCTGTTCAGACCAGCGCTGCTGTGACTTAAATAAAGAGGGCGTATTCATAGTAGGCTATTCAGTGTGGTATAGTGGGTAGAGTGACAGACTAGGACTCCAAAGAACAGGGTTCAATTCCCCACTTGGCCATGGAGACTCACTGAGGGAGTAGACCTGGCTAAGTTACTTCTGAAATATGTCACTTATCCTGAAAGCAGGTATAGTTGGAGGCTGACAGAAATGTTATCCTGCTTTTCCAAGTATTTTGCAAGGAAAGGATCAAATTTAGCAATGAATCCCAATCGGCCAAGGATGTTACCTTTGTAAAATCACCTGAGGTTTCAGCATCCCCTGGTAACACGGATCCATAGCAGATGGGAATGTTGATGTCTCTACAATTACTTGGGGAATTGGCATCAATGTTGTACCTTTTGTGGGTGAAACAAAGGTTCGCTTGGAGGTTTGTCCAAAAAAAAAATCAGTTTTACTAAATTCCTCACCATAAAGAATTCTCCATCAAAGAACCTGTAACTAAATTACAGGGGGTGGAGGAAAGAGCAAGAAGAAGGGGTCCTTGGAGGCTGCAGGAAGAGGAATGGCCTATAAGCAACACGGGTGGGAACTCTTGGTAAAAAAGTTCAATAATAACAATGGGGCTTCCTATTTAAACCTTAGCAAGGTCCAAGCGGAAGCAGAGAAAAGGGGCAACAAAACACCAGATCCTATGAGGGCCTCTCTGGAGAGGTGGCTGCATCAGAACCAAGAAGAGTGGCAGGGATGTGACGCATGGATGTTCCCAACAGCTATCAGCTTGAACAACCTTGTGACAAGGATCCTCAGGGTTACAGGCATTGCTCTGAGGGAATGTTGACTTTATTCTTGCATCTAGATTCTACCTGTGGTTATAGGTGCATCAGAGGCAGGTTAAGCTGTGCCTATTGATCTCGTGTTGCTGCTCGTACCGCCCTTCTGCATCCAGCAGACGCCTTGTAAGCCTACTCAACTTGCATACCTGTACATGCCCCATCCGTTGTGGAGCATTAAACTGGATGGAAACACCCAGGAACAATGTCCGTGTCCCTAGCAAAGTGAGAAGGTGTGGACCTGTGTTGTGCTCCAGGGCGTTGTTGTGGAACTGAGGCAACTCCCAACATGCCCAACTGGACCAACAGCTGCTTCACGTTCTCTCTCTCCTGACTCCATGGCCGTTTCCAGCCATGGTCTCCAAAGCTGAAGCCAACTTCCATCTCTATATCCCTAGAGCAAATGGTTGAAAATTAAACTTGGTAAACCTCCTTTTTTAAAATTAGCAACACAACAGGAGCCATGTGTCATCAAGCTGATTACAATTTTTTCTAGGTATAAACTACTTAGGATTGGTTTCCTTCACCCTTCTTCTGTTGACACTTTGGAGCCATTGAGCCTAAGGTGTCACGTTCTGCCTTTCCTTGCACAAAACCATTATCTTTTAAAGTTTTGGTTAAATGTTGGTTCCATTCATGGCCACTTTGCCTCAGACCATATAAGCTTTTCTTCAATATCCAGCATTTACCTTCATTTTCAATGCCTGGTGGTATTTCCATATAAATTGTGTGTTTCAGGTCAGCATATAAATAGGCTGTTTCTATGTCAACATGCCTGGTCATGAGATTATGTTTGGCTGCATAGGTTAAAACAAATCTCAATGTCTCTGGTTTTAGAGCCGGTGCAAAAACTTGATCATAGTCGTTTGATGTTTGAGCATACCCTTTTGCCACTAGCCTTGCTCTATACCTCATATTACCATTGGCATCCACCTTCCTTTTAAATACCCATCTGGATCCAATTACTTTTGATTTTTCAGGCAGTTTCACCTCCTCATAAACTTTCAGTTGTTTTAATGAATTTAACTCTTTCTCCATTGCCTCTTTCCATTTTATTTGTTCCTACTCAGGCATATTGCATATGTCATCATATGTCTCTGGTTCTGCTACATTGAGACAGTAAAAGGTCTCAGGCTTGTACCTGTCTGGAGTTCTTCTCTCTCTGCTAGACCTCCTAGGTAATTCCCTGTCCTCCTCGAGAGTTTCCCTCTCTTCTGAGTTGGATGGAATTTCTGTATCAGATTGCATTTCCACAGGTTCTACTTCTCTTTTTATTTCCTGCTCTGTTTGAGAGTCACTATCATCTCCACTATCCTCACTATTTTTATTCCTTTCAGGCAATTTAATTATTGTTTCTGGGGGTTTACATATTTTGTCCCAGTTACTGTGCTC